TTACTGTGTCAAGCATCAAAACTCCTGGAGAAGGAACATAATCAATATGAATATCCAGTGTTATTGTTCTGTCCAGCTCACATTAGCGCCTCGTCTCATTTGTGCAAGTCCAAAACCACAAAAAAATAGAAGAATAGAAGAATATGTTAACCCTTCGTGATGCTGTGTAATTGTTTTTTCATGCTCTTCAATTGGTCTTGTCTTCACTCCATCCACAGTTGTCTTAAATAACTTAAATAACTGAGGAGAGGACGGCTTCCTGTTTACTGACTAATGTCTGCTAGCTGCCTTGCTGCTGTTACCGCCCTAGTTTGCGACAGTTGCATGTGATCATTATTTGACAATGCAACTGCAGTTATACTTTTGTTCAATGTTGTCACAATGCATTCCACGATGTGACCCCCTCCGAAGGTGGTTTGGATGTGTGTTTTTGGTGCATTTTCATGAATATTGTCATGTATTGAAGCTCTATCTGCAATCTCATCATACAAAATACATTTAGCACATAATCAGTTTATAATGCAGAAAGAGAGTAGTGGTCACCAGAAACAACTATGTACAGATGTAGCAAGTTTGGGGTAGTCTTCTCAGTCAGAGCCATCAACTACAGGAATAGTTTACTATTTGTTGATTTAAGAAACAGTAGTTATTATTTCTAAATGCAAACTTTAGATATATCTTGTGACAATGTATGAATATTCCACTTTAGCTTATGTGATTTAGTTTGTGTGTATCTGTGGATTTGTAAAGTATTTGAGCGTTGCATTGTATTGTTTGATTTTTATAATGTATTTTAATAATGGGTTATTTGCTTCATTTACTTTTTATCGGAGTAGAGTTTTTATCATGGGATTGTTGTACAGTTAGTTTGGATGTTATAATGCATCCATTTTATTTTATTTCAAGTTGCCTTGTAAAAACTAGCTATAGGGACAACAGATATAGCTAACTCATTACATTCATTTACAGCACTGTCTGTTCAGTAGTGAGCACTGTCCCAATCAAATAACAATCACTTGATCGTAGTGACATCTTAATGTTTGTCAAAAACACATTTCTTGTCATAATTCAACATCATAGCTCAGGAACAATAGTTTAGATACTGTCTCCTTGAAATTGTACATTAGATAGTAGTAATAGTATATTATATGGGTCTGGACAAACATGCATGTAAAAGGGGATGTGGATGTTTGGCAGAGGCATTATTCAAGTTTTTTGTAACCCTGACCCTTTAAAATCCTTTAGGATACACTCAAACATCAACACTGTCAAGCAAGCTAAAAACAACGTTTTCATTTTCAGATACTGTGATGTCAGGTTTTCACTTGACAGCAGCAAGATGAATTCTTCTCTTGCCGACTCCATTGCAAAGAAAGCCGTGTAACAATACTGTGGAGCAAACATGTTTTTATCTGTTTTCTCAAGTCATGGATTAAAGGATTTGACACCCAACCCCCTTGGTCCACAGCCCATTGTTGAAATGAAAGCCAGTGGCAAACTATGTGAGTCGTAGCGGGTCCCAGTGAGGGCATGCGCCATATGGTGGAGTCTCGCTACACGTCCGCTGATCCAGCCATCAAAGCCCATTGTTTGTGCTTTGTTCAAGCTTCAAAGGGAATACTGGTCAGTCTGGAAAACCATAGAGTCAAACGCAGCAGTTTGCCAAAGGGCTCTGGGAGGCAGGTATTCATCTCTGTGTAGTTAAAACTTTATCAGGAATACTGCAGAAACACATGCATGTGAATAAGCAACCTGTTGGAACAAAGCCCAAAATGAGTTGTTCTAAAAGGTTTTGCATGTGGTGGGTGTGTGTAATGATTCAAATCAAGAGTTTTATCTTCTGCTCAGTTCTTAACAACATAAATTGGCTGCTTTTATGTACTTAGAGTGGATTTTGAATTACCTCCATGCAAATTGGCAGTTTTTATCATCCCACAAAGGATTATAAATCAGATACTCTTGCTAAGCAATCGTTTCATTTAACCTTTTGGAGTGAATTGGTTGACTGACTTTAGCCAACAGACTGTTGTCCAGTCAAAGCCTGGTAAATGTGGCTACAAACACTGCAGGTCTTGTGCATGGGACTGTAGTGAGAATGACACTTGCAATTTAAAGAGAATGGAAGGTGGTTTCCTTTTTTCTCTATCAAGCATTTTGATGTGTTCTCACCCCTGACCTTTGATTTGTTTATATGTTTGTCAGCAGGATGATGCAACATTTCTATGAAACTTGCTGGAGGGATGGGACATGAGCCAAGTAACGACTCATTAAAGTTGGATGTGGATCTGGACATAGGAGTGGATCCACAATCAAACTGACTGCTTAAACTGCTAAATGTAGCAACAGTAAGGTAACGCTCAATTGAAATGCACCTTCATATTGTGTTGCCCTTCAGTCGCAACAAAGGCCCAAAGAAGGAAACCAACATACCTGTCAGTCAGAGGAGTGATGACTAATCGTGGAGTGTTGCCCAGGTATTCATAAGAGTAGATAAAGCGGGCATCACAGATGTTGGCAAAACAATGCTTCTCCTTCTCGCCCCAGCAGTGTCTCAMCTGAGAGAGCCACACAAACTCCTGAGAATTCTCCACCTTAAAGAAAATAAAACTGACTTGAAACAAAGATTGACAAAAACATAACCAGTGCTTTTATCACCTTCTAATCATGGTGATGAGACACCTTGCTTGAATAACTTGACAGCAACACACACTGGTTATATCCTCTCAAAAATGCAGCTGTCATGTCTGCAGAAGAGTTTATATATGATATGTTCTTAACCAGATTTATGGCCCCCTGCTTACCTTCTGTGTGATCATCTTGGACACCACGTCTCTGGCGTGGACGTCAATAGTACAGATGGTCATCACCTTCTGCCGATCGCCCGGCGTGAGCTTGCCAACCAGCATGGAGATGAGGGTGTTGAGCTGGGTCACCTGTTTCTTGTAGTAGTCCTTCATGGAGTTCTCATAGCCCTCCTCCAGCCGGGTGAAAGCCATGCCAACGTCAGACGTCCACCAGATCTGAGAGCAGGTCAACGCCACCTGAATCCCAGGCAACAAAAGGTAGAAAAAAAGGTGATGGAATTAATGTAGATCCTTGTTTATATATAAAAAAAAAGACAACTAAATGTGAAACAAAGGTAGGAACTGAGCCAACAAAGCATATGGTCTCACAATATGCCCTTGTGTTTCAGACATAAAACTGGCAACCCCTCGCCTTTAGAGCAGAGTTTTCTCTCTACGTGGGAGAATTTGGACCGAGATGCAAAGTTAGTTCTTGACAACCATGGCTGCTTTTGCTGATCAGTGTGAAAAGTCGACTTCAGTGAAGACAAGACGGGCTGAGCAGGTTTTATGAGGTCTGGTCATTAATCTGTCGAGGGTGTAATTGCGACTAAAGACCACTTCCTATTTTCAGCCCTTCTTTGATTTTCTAAGTAAAATCTTGCCAAACAGTGTCCAGCTGTCATCATCTACATAAGATAAGATAAAAGTGTTGGCATGATTATTTATGCCACCATATTTCATTACCATGCCCTTGCAACATAAGCTTCAGGAGGAGGTATAAATTTCTTTGCCCCAAGTTTAGCCCTTCAGGCTATAGGCTACCTTAACCTCCCAATAGTAGATTCGCTTTTTTCATATGCAGCAATAGAGGAGGAGAAGCTGCAGTTGCAACAAAGAGCTGGAAAATGTACTGCTTCCTTGCACACAGGCAAGCAGGTTAGATTATCATTGTATGTCTAAATGAAATGATTTGTCATGTTTATAACAGTCCTGCAAGGGCCAGCAACATTGTCTTTTTTTATCTATGGCTTGAAGGCAATTGGAAGTATTTCAACAAATTCAGAGACAACTTACCAAACCTACATGTATTTTGCCATTTAGAGCATCAAATACTTACTTTTCCAAATTATAAGTATTTGCAGGTAGTGACAAGAGTTCCATTATCACAGCACATATTTTTTATCTTTGTGTAAAACATTAGTGAGTGTATGGACTGGGTTGAAATGTCCATGGGAGACACAGACGTGACTTTGGAACAGATCCATCAGATGTTAGAGAAGGTGATTAATGGGAAAAAATCCCCAAAGTGAGTGTCGTCAGTTAAATCGATGCATACTGAGCCTGTTTTTACCTGAGCTGGATAGTCAAACAGCCACTGCTCT